TTCAAATTTGCTTGTTCTGGGAATAACATTCTATGCTAGAGCTAAGAATCAGCTTGCCTGAAAAACAAGTTATTAGTGATAATTATTGGTAATTCCTATAACTTTGAGAGATGGTGGGCTTATTTGGGCTGATGGTGGAGGAAGAACTGTTTCTGGAAGGAATCAAAGAGAGGGTTTGATGATTATGAAACCCCAAGAGAGATTATATCATCTGGTTCAAAAGTTTTCTGGAACAAATGACAGAACTGATTATCGGAAGTATTTTTAATTAGCTGAGCTCAATCCAAAAGGAGTACAAACGTAAGCCAACAGAGGAAGTTTATTGAACTTCCTATTTAAAACAGATGTTTTATCAGGATTTTTGAATGTGATAATAGGATTGTATCCCAATGTAGTTTATGGAACTTGGAAATGCACAAAAACAATGTCTAGGTACTCCCTTCTAAATGGCATATAGGATGCAGGTGGGTAAGTTACCTGGTGCGCGGCGAGCTTGAAGCTGAGGTTTGGAAGTTTGCAAAGAGAAGAAGTAAGCTGGTGTAGTTTCTCCACAGAGTCCCTGCTAGGGAGGGGAGCATGGGACAGGGAGGCAGCTGTAGGGCAGCCAGATGGGCAACAGTCATGAGGAAATGTTCTCTTTAAGTTGATGTAGAATTTTCTATGATCAAAGCCATTCTCCTCCCTAGATGCAAAGCCCTGTCACAAGGTGAGATGCCACCATGGTTTGTCTTTGCTGTGTGAACTTAGAGTTTAGCTATTAGACTAGTTTGGTTGAATTTACTAGAGGGTTGAATTTGCAGAGCTTAAAGAGTTCTTTGTAGATATTTTGGCAGAGTAAAAATACACACATTGCATGGGAAGGAGGTAATGCCTTGTGAGGGAGGACATCTTTCCAACTTTGTAGCCAAAGCACTCTCCCAGGAAGAAGGAGAATTCCAACTTGCTGTTACATCCCACTTCAGCTCTCAAGGGAATGCTCCATGAAATTCTCCCCAAATCCCACCCCAGTCATGGTGGCTTTGAAATCCAAGTCATCTGGTTGGCTAAAAGTTCTGTGATACCACTCATAGAAGGATGGGTGCTTAGTAAGGTCAGAAATCAAGCAAAGTTATGAATTGATAACATTTAATTTGTTTCACCGAAAACTTATCTAACAGCTAGTATAACAAAATAATGGATTAGTACCATCTCACAACAACGTCAAATTAGCAAATGTGTTTGCTATCTTGCCCAAAGTTCCTTAAGGAGAAAACAGCATGATAACAAGCGAAAGAAATGGAAAATGTTTAGATTTTGCCAAATTGTTGTCCAAAGTATATAAAAAATCTAGTGCCCTCCCTATGTATATGATGGTCACAATTTTAAGATTTTTTTCTTTCAATTAAAAAAAAAAGAAAATTATGTTGACAAGTAGTTTTTGTTATTTTGAGCTTGTCAATAAGTGGTAATTAACTATTTTATTGGTCTTTACTATTTATTAAATACTTGTAAATTACAAGTGTCAGAAAGGTGTAATTACAGAAAGAGGAAATTGTTACACAATTGTTCCTGGTTGTAATAGCCTCTCCTTAGAGACCCCAGGGGACTGGTACTTGGGCCCTTTTCTGGGATACTATGAAAGATTTTAAGAAGTGCAAAAATATTTGACAAGTTTGTTACCATCATTAACAACAAAAATTTAACAAGATTTATGATTTTATTACTCTGCTCACCTCTCTTTCTCCTCTGTCTCTCTGTCTCTCTGTCTCTGTCTCTGTCTCTCTCTCTCTCTCTCTCTCTCTCTGTGTGTGTGTGTGTGTGTGTGTGTGTGTGTGTGTGTGTGTGTGTGTGACAGAACATATAACTTGGTCAGAGAACAACTTAAAGAGTCCATTCTCTCTCCTATGTGGGTCCTGGGGATCAAACTCAAGCCATTAAACTTGAGTTATCTTCACTGAGCAATCTTTCTGGCCTCTCAACAATTAAAAAACAAAACAAAACAAAACTAATGATCAGCTTCAAAACCTTACGCTGTACAAAATTTATTTCTCACAAGTTCAGGTGTCAGATGGATGATTCTTATTTGAGTTCATTTCAGATGTGGGGGAAACAGATCATAAGCAATTACAGATATTAGCCATCTTTCATTATGAAGGCAAAATTTATAAATAACAACCGGTTGTTTGGGAATATCAAGTATTTCTGACAGTCTATTGTAAACATACACATTTACAAATCGGTTGCAGTTTGCTAATGAAGCCAAATAGTGAGAACATGATATTGTGTCTTCTGTGTAAGCCCTCAGCCAACCCTTCACCAAATATGAATTCTAAAGTCATTGTTGTGTGGATTGTACAATGATAGAATTAAGAGAAGGCAACTATGAGAATGAAGAGTCTTGCACATACAGAAAGGTGTCAAAGTCGCCATGCAGGAGACCTTACAGGGATTTCTGGAACCTTTATTGTTTATCCTGGATGAGAACAAGGATTCTGAGTTACAGCCACACTAAGAATGATTCTGGCTTCCTCTCTGACATTTGTTTCTGTGCTCCTTTAAGGAAAGATATGGGGAGATGTTTACATTGGAAGGGGGATTTTCAATATAGGTCTCTTGAAGATTCCTTAATGGATACTATGTAGTTTTTTTAAAGTATTGTGTAGGAAATAGTATTTTAATCTTAGATGATGATTTCTACATAGTATCTTAGTGCTTTTATTTTCTTGGCATGAAGATTGATCCATTTTTAGAGTTTTCAAACATGTTTTAGGTCTAGAGAAAAATATTTTTGTACGTATATTTTTTATTATTTATTTTTAAGTTTAAATTTAGATTAGAAACAAGGTTGCTTCACAAGTCAGTTCCAGGTCCCTCTCCCTTTCCCTCCCCCCCCCTCCCTTGCCCTCCCCCCAATCCCCCCCATTATCCCCTCATTTCCCCAGGGAGGGTGAGGCCCTCCATGGCGGTGTCCATAGTCTGTCATTTCATCCAGGGCAGGGCCTAGACCCTCCCCCAAGAGTTCAGGGTGAGAGTGCATCTCACATTGTTGGATGGGAGTCCAAAGTCCATTTGTATACCTGGGATAAATACTGATCTACTGCCCAAGGCTCAATAGATTACCTAGGCCTCCTCACTGACACCCAGATTCAGGGGGGTCTTGATCAGTCCCATGCTGGATTCCCAGCCATCAATCTGGGATTCAAGAGCTAACCCTTGTCAGGTCAGCTGTTTCTGGGGGTTAAACCAGCCCAGTCTTAATCCCTTTGGTCATCAGTCCTCCCTCTCTGTTACTGGCTTTCTTGAGTTCAGCTCAGTGCTTAGCCATGGGAACTGTGCAAAGCCTTCAGATGTCTTAAGTATAAGACATTTATGTTCTTCATTTAAACTTTGTTTAAACCCAAATGCTAGCCAAAAGGCTGAGAAAGGGAGTGGAAATATCTCCACCTAGTGGCTTCCATGGGGTAGTTCATGAAACCAAAATTCAAAAGCTTGTTCTGCAGAGGATCATCCATCTCGCAGTTAGCTCAAACCTATAGGTTTATGATGTAATGCAATTTAGTTAATGTTTACTTAACTATTAACTACCCAAGTAAACTAATGTTACAATTGTGTGCATTTATAATTAAAGTGAAACAATAGGTGGAAATGCATTTCTTTCTTGGTGGGGGGCTGGGTAGGTAGTTGAGAAAGGAGCTCAGAACCTTTCACATGCTAGGCAAGCACGCTACAGTTGAGCAACACCACAGCTGCTCTTCATGTTACTGGAAAGCCCTGATGTAAGTTTCTGCACTTACATCATAGCCACAGGTTGACAGCGAGGTAAAGGTTTGAGGTGGAGCAATTGTCTTGCTTTTCTTTCTTCTGCTTTGTGCAATGTCAGGGACTACAGAACTGTGTCTTCTCACCAAGCTAGCTAGCTCCATGCACACTACAGTGTACCACCTTCACTACCTAGATTCAAAATGACTGAATGAAAAAATGTGATGCTACAAGTTTATGAGGGCATAAAGGCTAATATTAAAAGGAAAACCAATCAAACAATGTGATATTTAATGTTTGTAGTGTGGCTGGGCTGCTTTAATTACGGATGCAGTTTTGAAATTTAAGACTGAATTGTGGGCAGGTGGGATGGCTCAGTGGGTAAAGGCATATGTTGCCAAACTTAAGTTTCATCCCTGGGTCCACACACATAGCGCTAAGGAGAGAATCAATGGCCACAAGTTATCAGCTGACCTCCACATGCACACCCACCTACACACACTAAATTAATGTAAAGCTTTGTTTAAAAAACATGAGTTTATGGGGCCAGTGAGGTGGCTCAGTGAGGAGGGAGGTTGCAAGCCTGACAACCTGGGTTTACATCCTGGAACCTACAAAGTGAAGGGAGGTAGCCAAGTCCCAATGATTGTCCTCTGAGTTTCACAGAGGTGCTTCAGAGCATGCACACCTGCACAACACACACTCACACGAGTAAGTAATGTAATTAGCCAAAGAGATCACATTTAGATAGAAAAGCATTAGCCAGTTATGCAGAAGCAGTAGTCAGAGGGCAAACTGTTTCCTGACTTCTTTGGTATATGAAGGGATTATGTCCTCATTAAAATAAAAAAAATGAACACATGCATTGAAAAAAGAAGTTAAAGGTGTGTGGGCACTGTTCACAACAGGGAGTGTTCACCTGGGGGAACAGTTGTAGGAAAAGTATTTTCCCATTATGAGACTTGTATATAGAAATTACCATATGTTCAGTTCTCTCATTGAATAAGATCAACCTAATATTATTAGAGTATTAGACATGGTTTCTAAAAGGCTTTATTTATTTTGGAAGTAAAAGGCACATGTAAATATAAAGAAGTTATCCCAAATAGCAAAGTCTGCAGAGCTGTTGGTACTAACCTCATGTGCGTGTTTTTATTTTGTTAACATTTACAGTCTTTTGTTGAGATGGTGTGGTACTGGTCTTCACATCAACTCCTGACTCGAGTTTAATTGAAAATGCTGTATCTTTCTTCTCTTTATAGAAAGCATCATCATTCACCAGTTGCGAATGAGCTCCCGATGAGATTGCCAAGCACAGCCCTCAGTCATCACTAAGGTCCTCCATGCTACTGATGTTGACTGGAAACACCTTATGACTTCCAGTGATTTTTTTTGAGGATACAATTTAACAGTTAAAAACCACATTGTGGATGATATGAACATATGTAGTAAAAGCTATTGAATCTTTGTGCCAAAGAAAGTTTTCTTCTCTTTGCAAAGCTTTCAGGTCTGTGGGCACATGCTGTATAACTTATTTTTATAATACATTTTGTAATGTGATTTCTTTCCCTAAACTGTTTCTTTTCTCATAGTCAGTGGCACATATATCTGTATACTACACTGTCAGTTCTTCAAAGTATTGATATTGTGTATTCAAAAGATTAACGTATCATTTTTATTAATTTGTTATTTTTAAGGAAAACAAAGTACAACACTCTATTTCCTTGGGCAACTTTAAGAGGCAAAACCTAGAAACAGTAGATTCCTGGGGTTTTATTACTCATATGATGCTATGGTTCTGATAGTGGTTCAACACTGAAATCGGTGTGCTGACTTAGGAGTTTAAGTACTTAAAACCAGTCCGTGTTTCCTGCTGGTGTTCTGTATCGGAAACAAACAGCTTTGACTGGCAGTTCAATTTTATTTCTATCTGCATTATTTATGTGTAGACAATTTAATAGTGACTGTGATGTCAGGGAGTTTCCCACATATTACTCCAATCCCATGAAAGCTTGCAAATAAAAACTAATCTAGAAAATGTCAACTTTTTTTAAAATAGGGAGACCCAAATGTACATAGCCACTTCCCTTTGATTTTGATTGCCTTTTCCACCGCCACCTCCTCCTCCTGCTATTCTTCTTGGTACAAGTTCTTACTATGTATCCCTAGATGACATAAAAGTAGCTGTGTAGGCCAGGCTGGTCTTGAACTCAAGGGGATCTATCTGTCTGTCTGCGCCTCTTACAAGTGCTGGGACTAAAGACATATGCCATCATACCCAGCTAAGGATATATTTTTGAAGAATTAAAAGCCCAAACTGTATTACTCACATCTCAGTGTCAGAGCTGCTGTTGAATTTAGGTTTATGTGAAAGTGTGAAGTCTACTTGAAACTCTAGTTTAAAAAAATACTGTCGATGTGGGGGGGTGGGACTATTTCCAATAAGATCTTTAAAATAACTTTACAGATAAATTAAGAGTTGACATTCGAATTTCTAACTGCAGAAGTCACTTGTCATGCTACTGTAGTGTGAATGAAGAGCCAACACTTCTTCTGAATGTTAGGACGTAAGCAAGATCACCAGAGTTAACTACTGTATACTCACCACTATAGTCAACAAGCTGTGCCCAGGCCAGCCACAGAGTCTCTGGGATAGGAACACACAGTGCTAAATCTCCTCCCTCGTGTAACCTAGAAGGCTTTCATGTAATCTGTGGAGCTGACAAATCATAGTCAATTCATACTGTAAATAAAATAACTATCTTCTAAAAATAATTCTTGCTTTTTAAAAAGTCAAAGTTATGTTAGGCTTCCCTGAGCTTGAAGGACTGTCGAGGTCTCCCATAGCATTGTGTCATTTTAATTACGACACAGAAGCCTTGAGTATGTGCGTGTGAAGATTACTAAAAGTGTTAAGTTTTGTTTTCTTAAAATGTTAAAGAGAAATGACATTTTCGATCATAAAACAGTTTTTATTTTATTTAGGGTTTCTGCTTGTTTTGTTGTGTTTTTTGAGATAAGGTTTCTCTGTATATCTCTGGCTATTCTGGAACTCACTCTGTATATTGGGCTGGACTCAAACTCAGAGATCTACCTGCCTCTGCCCCCTGAGTACTAGGATTAAAGGTGTGTGCCACCACTGTCCAGTATATTTAGTATTTTTATATTGACAGGGAGGTAAAATTTTTAGGTGACACAATTGCCTGAAGCTTAATTATTTGCTTTCAACTAAAACATTACTAAGATGTATTTGAATCTGATGGGTTTCTTTCCCACCAGAGTTGTAAGGAATTTTGGTATTTGCAAAGACAGTGAAGATCATGTTGCAAGCAGTCATCTGGGTAGATGATGAGATTTTTCTGTCTACCATACCTTGAATATCTTTGATTAAACATGAGTGACAGTAAAATGAACACATTAAATTTGAAAAAAACAAACAAGAGAATATTAACAGGATCACAATCACATCTTAGCAACCTTGTCTAGTTGTAAAAGTTGCTTTCACAAGCAATCCCGGCACTAACCTGAATCACATCACATAACTTCACTTTCTTGTACTGTAAATATGTCTTCATCAATTTGAAGGAGGTTAATTTTTGATGGGATAATTTGGATGTTTCCCAAAGTGCAATCAGTATTTTTAGTTCAAGGCACAACTGACCTAGTCAATTTATTTTATGCTTGATTTGTTTTTGTTTTGTTTTGAAGACAGGGTCTCCCTATGTAGTCCTGTTGGCCTGGAACTTGCTATGTAGACCTCACAGAAATCCTGCCTCTCTGTTTCCTGAGTGCTGGGAATTAGGGTATGCAATACAATAACCAGCCTTTACACTTGTTTTTTGAGACAGGGTTTCACTATTTAGCCCAGGCTGTCCTCAAACACATTATGTAGCTGAGGATAGGCTTGAACTTGTGATCCTTCTGCCTCAGTCACCTGAGTGTTAGGATTACCAGGGTAAGCCACAATGCTGGCTATGCCTTTCCTCTTGGTAACTATTTCTGTGTATTTAATTTGGTTACCATGATATTGTCTGCAGTTTTTTAAGAGTTCATAAAGTATTGAGCTTGATGAAGATAGAGGATAGAGTATATGCACAGGATGGTGGTGCCCAGAATGTATATAAAATATAAATTTGTTGAGTCTTAAGACAATCACCGAGAAATCATGATGTGGGTTATCTAGTTTAAGCACTAACAGCAACACAGATGCTACTGAAAGAATGTAGAGCTTGTAAAAGTCAAAGGCAAAGCAAGAGTAAACGCTGTGTTAGGCATGTGAGGTTTTTATCCAATGCCATGGTTGAACTTTTCTGGAAATACAGAAAAAACATAGTGGAAACTGAGTGTGTTTGTGAATTGTTTCAGAAGTACAAACTGAAACTTAAAATCATAGTTGGTACCTGAGGCTTACATCCTCTTACCTCTGCTAAACCAATGCTAAAAAGGCCAATTAGAAGGCAAAGAGGAAAAAGAATAAAAGTTACTGTAATAAACTTACAAAAATTAGAAGTTTTCTAACCATTAGTATTTGTTTCTTAAATTTTCAGTATTCATTTCACAACTACATAATAATTGTTTATGGAAAATATAAGTTTCACAAATTTTGGATAGGTATGTTTATGGTCGCCATGGTGTGATTCAGACATTTTTTGCTTTTTTTGTTTTTGGCTCACATTATTTGGGGGAATTTCACCTTATCATTGAATGTACTTTGTTACTTTACAAGTGCAAATTTGAATTTTTAATCTAATTAAAAAATAAGGTATTTGTTTCTCCAATATAATAAATGTATAATGTGATCAGTCTTAGAATTCTTCAAGTTTTAACAGAGTTTTCAAAAGCAAGAGTATATTTTGGAAGATTTTTAGAAATACATTCTATTTCCCTATCGTCCTCTAAGTACATAAGTTTATTATTTCACACTGAAGTAATAGGATTTTATGTACTTGTCTTTTATATGGAAGTAATATCCTGTTTTCAGTTCTTCATAGGTGATTTAAATTACAATTAGGCACTTTCTGTATTACTTTGAAATCAAATACATTTATGGAAATCTCACCAGAGTATGAAAAGATAACAGTGAAATATGAAAGCATTGTGCAATATTCTTTTTACATAAGAATATTCATAAAATTAAAACAATTTAAAATAAATGTACAACTTAATAATTCACTTACTATTTTATGTGTATGTTCATGTGTATGTGCCCACATATGGATGTGTGTATATATATGTATGTGTATATATATGTAATCATCATGTGCATGCAGTAACTGAGGAGGCCAGAAGAGGGCATTCAGTTCCCTGGGTGGAACTGGAGTTATTGGTAGTTTTGAACCACCTGGCATGGGTGCTGGGCACCAAACCTGGGTTCTCTGCAAGAGCAGCAAGTGCTCCTAACCACTAAGCCATTTCTCCTGCTCTAGAACTTCCTTTTACTCAAAATCATTTGCTTTAAAATAGTTATTTTAGCTCCACATTTCATACTCTCTTAGTGTATTTCACTACAGCTGTGTAGATGTAGCAGAGCAGGACTGTCAGAACGAAGGATGTTCTTCCCAGTTACACTGTTCTAGATTCTTTAGTAAAATAAAAACTAAGGTTTCTAAGACAGGGAACTGGCTAAGAGGGTCCTCTTGCTCCTTTACCATACTAAATGTAGTGTCATCAGTGTTAATGTACTATTCTACTGCTTTCTACTGTTACTCTAAAGGCAGAAACCTCAGTAGCATATACACACCCGAGCTCTGCTGACAGGCGTGCTGGGGCAATGGCAGTTTGAGAAATAGTTTCTGTAAAGAGGGATGGCAGTGAAGTGGGTTATTGCCCAACCCCTTGTCAGCTTGGTGCCAGAAATGGTGGCCCAAAACCAAAGCCATTCATTCCTAGCTTACTGTTGTCCTTACTTGGAATAAACGAATGAGTTTTTCTTGCTTACTAGTTAGAGATGTACCTATCAAAGAAACAAAGGGCCAGCAAGATAAAAAAGGATATTGCTGCCAAGCCTGACAGTCTGAATTCAATCCCTCAGACCCACACATGGTTGAACTTGTTCTCTGATCTTCAAATGTACACTGTGGGACAAGTGCTCCCATACATACATAAACAGATACGCACGCACGCGCGCGTGCGCGCGCGCGCGCACACACACACACACACACACACATACACACACACACTAAATAAATGTAAAAAGAACCTTTTAAAGGAGCAGACAGGAAGGATATTTAAGACAAAATGTTTCTTGCATACAAGTTGCAGATGCCAGTCTACCCTACTTACCAGGGGTGGTCGTGGGCAATCGAGAGAATGAAGAAGAGAAGCCTGGGTGCACTGTGGTTTCAGAACACTGGCTGAAAAACTCATTCGTAACTTGGATTTTACAAGAGAAAATGTCCCAGGGTCTCAACCACATTGAAATGAATTTGTTAACCTCAGAGCTCCAGGTTAATAACCATGTAGATGGAAAACAGAACAGCCCCTTCATCCCAGGCTTCTTTGGCAACAGGGTACATTGTCTACTTTGGGAACGAAAACTTAGCCAAGGCAACTTCTAGTTCCAGGTACAGTAACCTAATCCACTGGGAAAGAACAGGAACCTAGAAACTGGATTTCACAGATGATTTGTTCTCCTCTCTTCTCTCTCTCTCTTTTTTTATGTGCATTAGTGCTATGCCATGGGTTTCAGGTCCCAGGCATGGGAGTTACAGACAGTTGTGAGCTGCCATGTGGGTGGTAGGAGCTGAATGCAGGTCCTCCAGAAGAGCAGTCAGTGCTCTTAATCGCTGAGCCAGATCTCCAGACTCAGACCCCTTCTCTTTAAAGTCAATCACTTATTCCTTGGTTTTCCTGGCAGCCACGGTATTTCTTTTAGAGTAATAATCTCTAAGGAGAATAAAACTTTTTTCTTCCCTTCAGGACCCTAATTTTTAGAATCTCCCTTATACTGAATGGTGTGCCAGTTTCTTGCTTCTGTAATAAAATGCCCACAAAGTCCACTGATAAGGTCAGAGTTTACACTGGCTCAATCTCAGAAGTCAGTTCCTGGGGCGTGCCCGTTGCATACAGTGAGAGTCTGCTGTAGAAGAGGCCTAGTCACTTCGCAGCAGCCTGGAAGCAAACAAACACTCGGAAGGGAACAAAATCTCTGTATTTCCCTTCAAGTGCGTGTCCCCTGCTGTGGACTGAGTAAGAATGGCCTCCATAGGCTCATGTGCTTGAATGCTTGGTTCCCAGATGGTGGACGGCTAAGAAGGATCTTTCAGAGGCATGGTCTGGTTAGAGGAGGTGTGGCCTTGGGGGAGGTATGTCACCGGTGATGGGCTTTGAGGTTACAAAAGAGCACACCAGGCCCAGTCTCTTGCTCTGTCTGCAGCTTGAAGTTCTGATGTGAGCTCTCAGCTACTGTTCTGAGCCATGTCTGCTGCCTGATGACCATGGACTTACCCTCCGAAACTGTAAGCAAGCCCCCAGCTAAGTGCTTCCTTGGTCGTGGTGTTTTGTCAGAGCAACGGCACTCCTAAGACACCCTCATTGCTAAAAACCTCCCTAGGCTCCACCTTTTATGATTTTACTATCCCCATCCCAGTGACACCATAAACTGGGATCAAGCCATCAATAAACTGGACTTTGGGAACCATTACAGATTGACGCCATGGTAGCTGGTATTGAACAAATCTATGCCTTGCATATTAACCACAGCGAATTCAAGAAACTGGACACCAAGCTCCAGCAGCCCAACTGATTAGCATCTGGTGCTTACACATGACACCGGATGCATTTGTTTTTATGTGTTAGAGATTGAACCTGGGTCTCTTACATGTTTACCATGTGCTCTACCACTGAGCCACACCAAACTCTTTAGATAAGTGTTTTTAAGTGGCAATCCCTGCTGGAATGAGGCCTTGTCTACCCTTCCCTCAAGTTCCGGATCTTCTCTCCTGATCACAGCCACATTCACTCTCTACCCTCCTCTCTACCCCCTCTGTCTCCTTTACCTCCCCTGCTAATCTTTACGCTTAGTTCTTTCACATTTGCCGCAGGAAGCCACAGTCAATTCCAGTTTATGTTTTATGGCACCCAGTGATGTGCTTCTAACCCTCAACACTGTTCTTCGAGGGTGAGTACTTCACATGATCTGTGTCTTCTTCACTGAGGTACTGGTCGCCAGTACTTCCCTCCCAGAAACTTCTGTGCCCTTGGAAAGTTCTAGATCCAGAGTTACTGATTCTAAAGGAGGATGTGCTGCTTGTAAGGACCAGGGGTCCACAACGGGCTACCAGATAGTCTGCGTTGCTTTGACAAGGGAAATGGGCTCATTTGTTTTCACGCCATTTTTTTTTTTTTTTTTTTTTTTTGGTTTTTCTTGACAGGGTTTCTCTGTGGCTTTGGAGGCTGTGCTGGAACTCACTTGGTAGTCCAGGCTGGTCTCCAACTCACAGAGATCCGCCTGCCTCTGCCTCCTGAGTGCTGGGATTAAAGGCTTCACGTCATTTTCAAAGAAGCTAGGCATTGGTTTCCACACGGAACACTGGTTCCAGCAGAGTGGGACAAATGAATTGTAGAAGTTAATGTCTTAGTTACTGTTCTATTGCTATGAAGAGACACCATGACCAAGGTCACTCTTCTATAAAAAAAAGAAGGCATTTACACAGCAGCACACAGGCGGGCAAGGTGCTGGAGACGTAGCCAAGAGCTATATCTGGATCCACAGAGAGACTGGGCCTGCTGTGGGATTTTAAAAGCCCATTCTCAGAAGCATACCTCCTCCAAAGCCAGTTACTCAGAACGGCCACACCTTCTAATCTTTCCCAGCAGTTCACTTCCTGGTGACCAAACAGGAGTGAGCCCATGCGCGTCGTTCTCACTCAAACCACCAGTTAACAAAACAGGTATCTCACCCACATTCAGAGACTGGAGACATCTACAAACACTTGCTTGAGAACAACATGCTCACCCAGTGTAATACGGAGTATTAACAAAGCATATAGCATAAGGCTCCTTTAGTCTCTTGAATGAGGACTTCCTTCCCTACAGCTTAGTGTTTGACATCATAAAGGGGGCCTCTTACAACCCTTTGTAGACTCACAGAACAAAGAGCTCAACGTTGTTTGTTGGCAAGTAATCTCTTCCACTGAAATGTGAATCCACTGAGAGTTGCCAGGTAAGCTCTAGATTTACTGAGTATGTTTTATGTCCCAGGCCTTTTGCCAAGTGTTGGGCCTTTAGAAATGAATAAACAGTCTCTGTCTTTGGTCAGACTTTATATCTATCTATCTATCTATCTATCTATCTATCTATCTATCTTTTTATATATAAAGTGTCTGTCCTTGACTTTATATCTATCAAGACAGGTGTAAGCAGACACACCCTTCCAGGGTGGGAGGTAGGTTTATCCCCTTGAGCTCAGACAGGAGTTGGAGTTACTTAAAGCAGTAACTTCATAGGTGCTTCGAAAAATAAAAGAAATGTACCTCCCACTGCTAGGACATCTAACAATTTAAAACTTGTCAAAATGGAAAAAAAAGTAAGTTAAGCCTAAAAGCGGTCTTCCCAAATGAGAGAATATTTTTAAAGGTATTTTTCTACCTCTGTGGTTTTCATGGAATAAGCTAAGCCTCTTTCCTTTTCTTATCCCACTCCCCTTTAAATAATTAATTTCTGTTATGGCTGTAACAGATGTCAGCTGGCTGTCAACCTAGAAATGGCACTCTATTTTAAGATAAGCTTTTATCTATAATTGATGATAACCTGTTGGGAATGTAATCAACTGATCGTAAGCGATTGAAGTTGTGAATTCTGTGGTCTCACTGGATAGTCTTTCACTTAGAGGGAGAAATGAAACCTTATTTAAGTTCATACGCCATCTACTCGAATTTCTGAAATTTGGCATCATTGTCCTTCCTTTAAATGACTCACAATAAAAATATCTTGTTTAACTAGTATTTCTGATTGCTGACTGGTTATGCAAGAGCCTGCTACAGCAGTGACCAGGCCAATCAGACAGCCTCTTAGTGTGAGAACAAAAGGGTTCTTAAACATCTAAGTCTAAGAGTTCAGTAAACACACTACATAAAAATCAGGAAAAGGTTTGTTTGTTTGTTTGTTTGTTTTTGTCCTTATTTTTGAGGCAGGATCAGTGCCAGCCTGATTCTCTTGCCTCCACCTCTCAA